AGCCTTCCTAGGGAGAGCATTCCACAAGTGGGGAGTCACCGCACAAAAGGCTCATTCTCAAGTTGCCGCCCTCTGGACCTCTCATGGCGGAGACACACAATGAAGGGCCTCAGATTATGATTTCAGGGTCTGGGTCAGTTCATGTGGGGAGAGGCAGTCCTTGAGGGATATAGGCTCTACAAACTGATATGAGCAAAAAACTTGGGCCAGGATGAAATTAGGGTAATTCAGGCAGCTCACCAAAGCCGATACCACCAAATCCTATAGCTGAAGAGCACAATAGGGTAAGATAGCCCAGGGAGCAAACAAGAAGACAGATATGAGAAGCACAAGACAGCAGGGAAGCAATCGGGGAGGTTGGAGGGAGGAACAACCTGGAACAGACACAGGCAGCCTAATGATTTCCTTCTCTAAAGAGTCACCAGACTGAGAGAGTTTACCAGTGACCAGGAATGGCTCATCTAGATCACATCATCATCACCATCATCATAGTTTGCCATGTGGTGCTTGTAACCTAGCCTGAATTTCCTTCCATGCATCCTCCTCCTAATAGACATAGACATGGTAGTTCATGGAATAAAGGATTGGTGCCACACAAGTGAACAAGAAGCGACTAATTGCAGGGCCAGAAGCCCCTTAAAAACCCCAGAAAGCTACTAATTAAAGGGACAAAGTGTGTTTTGAACTAAATTGGGTGTGCGAGGTTTGCTCACCAAATGTGACTTTCCTCGGGTCTCTTCCCCCTTTGTGGCCCTACCTCTGGAGGGTTGGAGGGAAATCCAGAAAAGGTTTAGAGGAAACATGGGGAGGGGAGGGAGGGAAAATTCCATTGTGTGAGGAGACCTTTTTTCCATGCACACATACACGACTTTTCGGTATGTTGAATTCCACCCAATGTTCCTGAAAAACTTCAGTAGTACTCTGTCAGTCCACACTGGACAAGTTATTTGCTGCCACAGATTTTTAAGACCCAAATCCCTGCCACAAATCAGCTGAGAAAAAGCACACAACTACGTAGGAAACCCTGGAATGCAACTCGATCTAGGTTTTCCATTAAAAAAGGAGTCAATTAATTATGTCAATTATGGAGAAAACAGCTAGTACGAAATCAATCTTGACCACTCTATTTTTATACGAATGTGCCTTTCCTGCTCTGGAAAAGAGCTGGATTCAGCTTTGAACAGGCCTGAAATAGTTTCCAGTGATTCAGAACAAATGTTTCTAATGACAAAGCAACGAGAATTTTCTGTTTGAAGTTTCTGCAAAAGGTTCCCATTGGAAGATTGTTTTCCTTGGTTGTGAACCACAGGTTCTGGTTAGATGAAAAAAGGAGAGAAGTGTCATTATCTTGCTTAATCTCCAATATTTTTATTTCAGGACATTGTAATCCCTTCATCCACTTCACATGCAATTTCAGTGGAAAGATTGCTATTATAGCAGCAACCCATAGGCTGGCTGAAAAATGCCATGTGTTTTGTATTCTGTTCCCTTAATTCTTTGGCACTTGTCTCTGCTTACTTATATTATACTGTGTTCTTGCAGTTGCTTCTCATTGCTATGACAACACTAATCAATCATCACACTAAAAATAGACTCTATTCTTTATTTTATTATTTTAAAGAAGGTGCCTGTGGTGAATTGAAAAATACAACTGTGGCTCTGCCTTTCCAATATTCTGTTTTCTCCTCTCCTTCCACCCAGGGAATACTGCTATGTTTTGGCAATTAAACCGGCTCTCTTCTGCAGTAATACCCTCCTTTGTTGCACAGATGAAAATATGGACACTTGTCTTCTTGTTACACCTCTGTCCTCATGTCAGAGATTGCTGCCTGAATGCCTGTTCTCTCTTATTCATTGCTGAAAGGTCTTCTCTACTAGCTTTGTAACTATGGGAGCAACTATGGGATGGGCAGGGTGGGAATGTCAGGATGCTGCTACTGGCTATTTCCCAGGAAAGTATAAAAACAAGAGAATATTTCTTACCATCCTTTTTTTATTATTATTCAGTATTTACAGAGGGAGGCTATAAAACTCAACCTCTTGGATAATGGTGTTGTCCCAAGTGAATCTCCACACACACCCTTCTATCCCACTTCCTCATTCGTCACTTCTACGGGTGCTGCTATGTGCCCTCTGCCTTTGAGTTCTTTGCTCTCCTACTTTCAAGCCTCGCCGGGTTCTGGAAGATGGAGGGTCTAGAATGCTTTCTAATGACAACGTGTCAGCTGGGTGTTGCTCTGGCTCTCCCATGATTTCCCAACTTTTCCCCTCATCTGCCTCTGAGCTGCGACCTCCCTCAAACTCCTGTTGTAAATCTATACTGTCTTCCTTTTCCTCCTCCCTGGTAGGGTCAGGCTGGGGAGGCGGTCTCCACCTTTCCTCCTCTGCCCAGTCCCTGATAGGGAGGGAAGCAGGGCACTGACATTTGCTGCCCAGGTGTAGTATACCTTTGCATTCATGTGCCACTAGAGTTGAAGTATATTTGCTCTCATGGCACTTGGAGATTTAACATGAGACCTGTAACTTTAGGGAACATGTATACACTGCCATATATTTTTTTAAACTCAAGAAACAAATTTTAAAAAGGACAAAAATCAAGTGGCTCGAATCCTAACTAGCCTTCCATGAACAGAAGGGCTATTTCCATTTCCAGAGAATGCTAGGGATTCATCCATACTGTTGTTTATCGTGGGCTGTAAGCTTCCTGTACCTCCATTAATTCCCTGTTATTCATACAGTGGTACCTCTCAAGACGAATGCCTCGCAAGACAAAAAACTCGCAAGACGAAAGGGTTTTTGGTTTTTTGAGTTGCTTCGCAAGACGATTTTCCCTATGGGCTTGCTTTGCAAGACGGAAACGTCTTACAAGTTTGTTTCCTTTTTCTTAACACCGTTAATACAGTTGCGGCTTGACTTCGATGAGCAACTAATAGAACGCGGTGTGGTAGCCTTTTTTGAGGTTTTTAAAGACTGGTGATTTTTGAAGCTTTTCCAAAACTTTCCCGACACCGTGCTTCGCAAGACGAAAAAAATCGCAAGACGACAAAACTCGCGGAACGAATTAATTTCGTCTTGCGAGGCACCACTGTATTGCGTTCTCCAAATCACAGATCCACACGTGCAAAAGCCAGATACTGTGCACAAGAATCTCTACACACCCACATATGAAACAGATTGTTGATTCTGAATTACAAGAGGCTCAAATTATAGTAAGCTCAGAAGAGAGAACAAGTTCAAAACAAAAATTGCCTTAAAGAAATTGAATGTTCAGTTGCTTTTGCATCTAGTTTTCTCAGTGATTTAGTAGACTGGAGCCTTATGACCAACTGAAAAGCTAGTTGTTTCCTAGATAATATTTCAAACCTTTACAATCCATTAAGATTTTATGGTTTCAGATTATTTTCTTCCTTTTAAAGAAACACCTGGCAACCCCTAGAGATTCTGAAATGGGAAATTAGAAAAATCACCCTGTGTATTCCTGTTTGTGCCATGTGTAAACATAAATTACCAGATTTCTGCTGGAAGGAGTATATGCTTGAGTGGGGTGGGAAGAGAGAAAGAATGATATCTTAAAATGCAATACATTTGCAAACATAATTTCCTGAGGCCTATGTGGCCTAGGACCTGCGTACCTACAGGACCGCCTCTCCTGGTGTGCCCTGCGGAGGACCTTAAGGTCCACAAATGACAACACTTTGGAGGTCCCAATTTGCAAGGTGGTTAGATTGGTCTCAACTAGGGCAGGGCCTTTTCAGTACTGGCCCCAACTTGGTGGAACGCTCTGCCACAAGAGACTAGGGCCCTGTGGGACTTGACATCTTTCCGCAGGGCCTGCAAGACAGAGCTGTTCCGCCTGGCCTTTGGTTTGGACTCAGTCTGACCCTTATGTTTCCCTCCGCTTATGGTTTTGATCTATGGGCTACTTTTAAAATGAGACTGCATTTTAAATTGTATTTTAACCTGTATTTTAAATTTGTTCCCCCGCCCCCATTATGTTTTTATTGTAATTTTACTGGTGTTAGCTGCCCTGAGCCGGGCTTTGGCCAGGGAGGGTGGGGTATAAATAATTTTTTTTTATTATCATCATCATCATCTCACATCTAATTTTAATTCTCTCATAAGTGAATATGCTTTCACTTAAAAGGGAAAAAATGTACTTTGTCTGTAATGAATGGACCTCTCTGCATGATGCATAAACAGTTCCCTGGCTCTGCTGAAGCACAATGTCAATTATTGAGGGCATGCGATCAGTGGCGTAGCGTGGGGGGTGCAGGGGGGGCCAGCCGCACCGGGCGCAACATCTGGGGTTAGGGCAAATCCACAGGTTAGGGGGCGCAAATCCACGGGTTAGGGGGCACAAATCCACGGGTTAGGGGGCGCAAATTACTTGCCTTGCCCCGGGTGCTGACAACCCACGCTACGCCACTGCATGCGATGAATCTCAAAACATATTCTGTGACTTGTAGTGCAATCTAGATTCAGACCAGTGCTGTTGAAAGCTGATGAGGCTCAGTCAGTAAAGATTGTGGAGAAAGGAGGGTGACCATTGGAGATTTAAAAAGGGAAAATGTGAGGTGTTAGAAAGGCTTTTCAGAGTGTGACATTCTGAATAGATGTTCCCTGAGACCTTCTGATCTTAAATAAGCTGGGATCAGAAGCTTAAGTATTTTCAGACTGATTCATGATCCTAAAATGTGGCTTAATCTGACAAGAGTTCCATTTTTTTCCATTGCTAGTTATTGTTTTTAGCAAGAATTGCTAGCTTTATTTTTCAAAATGGACTGTTTCAAATTTTCTCTTTCTTCCTGCCTTTTTTTTTTTTAAGCATCTTTTTCAAAGGATTCTGAACAGGTTGGTCCAAAAGCTCTTGATGCACAAGATGGAAACTAGTGAATTCATTTCTGGCATTCGCAAAATAAAACTGCTAGGTTGTAATGTACATATGAACTGGTGAGTTATAAATGGCTACAGTTCTGATTCTGATTTTCTTTTCTCTGCAGTGTTCATTTTTACCTAAATTCTCCATTCACATAGAGACAAAATATGAGGACAACAAAGGAAGCAATGATAACGTAAGTGATACCTCTTCTTAAAGATCCAACGTGTACTATCTGTAAAGGCTTTCATTAGCACGCTCAGCAAGGTTCTCCCTTACGATCTTCAGAGCTTTTCTGTATCTAACTTGACTCCAAAAAAGCAGACCTTCTGTTTTGTATGTAGAGATTCTCAACTCCTTTCCTTCCACCCCCTACTTATTTTTAGTTTGGTGGAAGGTAATGTGAACAGAGAGCATTCATTGTTCACGGCGCACAGTGCCATTGTTGGGCTATTGATGTGCATTTTCTAAGGAAACTCGTACCTGTTACTGACATGTACTGTAATTTGACTGCTAGCCTTCGGACTTGTGGAAACCTTGAGTGTCCAGGGAAGTGACAGGATCTTAAAAGGGAAGGGATCCTCTTAAGGAAAAACAGCAAGGAGAGTTAATCAAATAGAATGCAACCAGCAGCCACTGTTGATGAATTGACCTATCGTAGTTAAACAAGATGATAAATGCTTTTCTACGGCACTCAACTGAAATATCGTGTAGATAAATGGATTGTATTGAATTTTATATTCAATATAAAGAATCCAACATAAAGGAACACTGCTCTGCCTTGAATCTTCTGGGTTTGGCACTGTTGAATAGTCTCAAAGTGTGCCTTTTTGCTGAGTACCCTGCAGAGGACTAGCTATAGATGATGTGGGTCCTCTCTCAAACTCTCAGAGGCATGACCTTCAGTGTCTGGTGGTTATTTCTGCTCTTCAGACAAGTTATGTGTCAAATTCTACTTCAGACTCTTAAGTCTGGTGGGTTTGGGGGCTGTGAAGCCGAAGATTTTATATGTAGCTCCAAATGGATCAACTGAGCTAAATGGACCAGTACAAAGCAGCTTGGGGGGTTGTATTGCTTTTGTTGGTGTACATATTGTGACAAAAACGAGTCTAATGGCATCTTGAAGACTAACATGTTTATTGTGGCATTGTCTTTTGTGGACATCCGATGAAGTGTGCGCTCTCTCTCTCTCTCTCTCTGAAATATTTTTTATTGATTTTTACAGATCCATTCACACAAATAGTATTTTCACAAATATTAAACTTTACCCAAGATTCTTCCAAATCTCGAGACTTCCCTCCTCCCCTCCGTGGATTCTTCAACTAATTTTTTTAACTGCGTATTATAAATCTGTCTAGTTTATCATCCAAAGTATCCAAAGTCTATGTGTCATTGCAAGAGTTATTTAAAGCCTGCCAAAGAGTTCAAGTGTTTACAGTGGTCTTTCAAGTGTGTTATTTATTTATCCCATTCCTTGTTGAAGTTTTGATCCTCCTGATTTCCGATTTCCCCGCTTAATCTGCCATCTCTGCATAGTCCAATAATTTCATCTGCCAGTCCAACCTAGTAGGTACCATATTTTTCCGTGTATAAAACTAGGGTTTCCCCCCTAAAAAATAATGTCAAAAATCAGGGGGTGTCTTATACACGGATACATCTCCCCCCCCCCATTTTCTTAAATATGAATCCCCAAAAATAGGGGACATCTTATACATGGGGGCGTCTTATAGACGGAAAAATACGGTGTCTTGTTGTCTATCAATCTTTGGGAAAGGAGCATCCTTGCAGCAGAGTCCACGCCACAATAGCCAATAAAGTACGGCAATACTCTTCGCTGCTTCTATGAATATCAGATAATTGGTGAACTAGATTACTACATGAGTAGGTGCTGCCATGAAAACCATCTTGTTAAGAGAGATTTAGCTTTGTCATCAGTAAAGCTAAACAATATTCTTAAAAGCCATTCTTTTTAGAAGCAATTAGTGAAAGCCGTTTCCATCTTTAAAATGGCAGATTATTTTCTTCTACACACAGAATTTAGATACATAACTCAGAATGCTGATCCATTAGGAGCTACATATAAAACCTCTACGGATAATGAAAATAATATATGTTAATGTACTCTTTGGCCTCATCATAGGAGAGATTTTTAAAATGAGTGTTTCAGAACTGACCATTAATCAAATGGAAACCGAGAGGCAATTTTCTAGTGTACATATTCTTGGTACAGATGAATAACGACAATGGCATTTGACAAATTAACAGCCGGAGCATACTAAAGCCAGCTGTATTATAGCAGATGGATTTTGTCTTTGCATATTAAGCTGCACTAAATTGGGGAATTCACCTAAAATAAAGAAATCCTTTTTCACTTATGAACTTGTATTGTCTAAATATGATATTACTGTATAAGCATACACTTTGTCAGAAATGGGTTAGCTGTGGTCACTCCAGATGTTGCCAGACTCCAGCTCCCATCAGCCCTAGGCAGCATAACTTATGGGAATTATGGTCCAACATCTGGAGGGCCAAAGGCTACCCATCCTGGCTGTTGTTCAAAACTTTTATTGATACCATAGCAAACAGAAATGGAAAAATCCTTCTAATTTCAGATTATACTCACTCACGGTTTCTGAGTATAAATGCAGCCAAATTAGGGAAGCATTTGTCAAGCATAACAGCAGAGAAATGTATAATCCTTTGCAATGAGGAGAAAGGGTTTAGGTACAGTTCCAAGGAAAACATACCAGAGTCACCCCACAGTTTCTTTCCAAAGAACTGATTATTGCTAATAAGATAAAATTCTTGTGCTTATTAACAAAGGAAATACACTATAACTAATTTTCCTTTTAAAACCTCTTTTACGAGTCTTTTAGCCAGCTTTGCTGCATGAACTCAGCCAGCACTGTTTGGAACACTATCATACTAGTCATTTACAGTACATTTTAAAGCTGTTTTCCAGTGAGGCATCATGGGCAACAACTCACATTGCCTCTGACTACTGGCCATGCTGGTTAGTGCTGATGAGAAAAGTCCATTGACATCTGAAGGTCGTTATGTTGGGTACCCTAAGATACAGTATCTTATCCTCATCAGACAGAGCTAACTTGGGGTCTGGGCTTCCCTTCATAATTACTGACCATAATTAATAGCCATCTTACATAGGGAACCCTTCCCCCAATTCCAATTTAGTACTGTGATGAAAGGTGGATTTGCTAACACCTCAGGGAAAGCCTTCTTAAAAAAAACTGTATTCCATACCACCTGAAGTGTGAAAATAAAATACATACTGCTTTTGCTCTTTGTCTTATCAGGTATTTAGTTAATGTTTTTTTCGCTGCAAATGTACCTTCTGATCATACATGTGCCCTGTTTCAGAGAAAGTTTTCTTTTTTACTGCCTGTCCTGAACTGCAGCTCCCTGTGCTATGTTGTGAGTTGTTTCCATTCATGTATATGCATGTATGAAATGGGGCTCAGTTGCTGTATATCAGGGGTTTCCAAACGGTGGTCTGAGGACCACTTCATACAGGTGGTCTACAGCACATCTGTGAAGATCCTTTACAATCTGACTTCAGTGACTTTCAAGTTGTAGTACAATAAAATAAAAGAAATAAAAGAAACAATAGAAATACATTTAAAAGTCATACAGCATCTAGCCCCAGCACATTACAATTGCTACAACAGGCAGAAAAATGGTTGATCCACCAAAGTCCTCAGCAATGCCAATAATAATAATAATAATAATAATAATAATAATAATAATAATAATAATATATTATTTATACTCCACCGATCTGTCTGGGTTTCCCCATGTTCATGTAGTTCATGTGGGGGAAATTTGGGAACTGCTGAAGAATATTATAAGATGGTACTATGCAAACTAAATTGAGCATCTTTATTATTGGAAAAGTAAGTTAACAAAAATGTAGAAGACATCTCTAGTTATGTCTGTCCATGTTGAAAGTATTTTTATATTGATACATACAGTATTAGAGACTAGAGTCTGTTTTTTTCCGGCACAGAGTGCAGAATGATAGTTCCCCACTTACTTGCTTTTGCCAAAAATTCAGCAAGGCATGCAGGGAATTTAGGCTGTTGTCAGTTTAGGAAATTCAGGTATTGTATCATTTTAAGCAGCACTGTCTGAAGCATGCACCAGTCTTTATGATAGACAAGTTTGGGCTCACTGTAAAAACAGCCATTAAGCAGATAGAATAACTGAGATTCCACTTTAAATGAAGCCCCATGGCATCATAACAGAACACTATTTCCAGTGGAGCTTCATATAATATAAGAAAATTCAATGAATAGACCATGTTGTAATTAGACGGAAGCAAAATGTATATTTGATTTTGAGGGTAATGATATGCAATGAGGTGTATTCATAAGCAAGCTAAGTAAATTCATTGCTGCAGAAAACAGGTGCAGTGGGGTTCTAAATCCATAAAGTATTAATGGCTAATTTAGTGTGATTACACAAATTATAATGGTTGGTTAGACTCCTATCAGAAGGCATTGCTTTCTCGCATATGAAATAACTTGTTCCCACAAAATAACCCAAATTCCTAAACCTGCTATATTTGCATAAATCAGCATGTTTTTCAGGCATTTTCCCAGGGATGGGATAACTGCTTTTAAGCTGATTTATCTCTGTTGTTTTGTCTGCCAGGGTGAGGTAGTTATGACATTAAGTTGTTGTTTTATATTGTTTCGTTTTCACTTTTTGCACGCCTTGAATCTTTTCTAGAAACAGGCATTTAAGAAATTAGGTGGTGTTGCTTTTTAAAAAAGCAAAATTTGCATTTAGTTGGCCAAGTTAGAAACGTCAGAAAGCTGAAGCTTTGCAGTGGAAATGCTGACACAAGGGATTGTCAGCTGCTTCTATATTGCTGAATGCAAGCCAACAATAGTTCAGGGTTAATGCCAGTTCGCAAAGATTGGAATCACAAGTTGGAGCTTACTGGCCTCTTGCCATAATATTTCTCTAGTTCTTGTTTCTTGCAAAGCAGAGGGGAAAGCATTAGCACCGCATGCATTGCTCTTATTAAAATGCACACAGTATACAAATGCACAGAGGATACAGTAACCTGCCTCAAAAAAGACTAAACTAACCTCTGGGAACCTTAGGTTTTAGTTTTCAAGCTTATGTAAACATTACTGCCTTCCTGATGTTCTCCTACTAAGCATGGTTGGTTGCCCAGTAGCAAGGCCCTTGTGAATTGCCATGGCTGCATTCTGCATTTCAGAGAAGCTCACAGCCAGTTAACCAGCAACTGCGAAGAGACCAGTGCTTAGACTTGCAACCTCTCCTGTGTACATTTGCTTGGAAATGAGTGCTGCTGGGTTCAGTTAGACTAGCTCCTAAATAAGTGTACTTAGGGTCGCCTTAGAAGCTACAATAATATTTCTTTGGAAAATATAGAATTTTAAACAATATTTTTACTTCTAAAGACTCTAGTTCGATGCACAGTTTATAGTTGCCTTTAGTGTTGATCTTTAAGCATTGTATTAGTAGTGATATGCCTGGGTTAGCTAGCGAAAAGGTTACTTTGTAGTTTAGTACATACTTTTTTAAAAAAAAAATGTTATGTAAATTATTTATTTGTTATGTAAATTATTCATGCTTATGCCTGAATCACTTGTAAATCCCACTTTGTCAAAGGCAAAAAGTTTTTCACATTGCTATTAATTGCTGGGTTTTTGCCCCCCCCCCCCACTTTTTCCCACTGTTTAGCATGTTGTTGCACTACGGCAATAATTCAGTGCTGAACAAGTGAGGTTACAGGGAACCAGGCAGAGGGCCTTCTCGGTAGTGGCGCCTGCCTTGTGGAACGCCCTCCCAGCAGATGTCAAGGCAATAAACAACTATTTTACTTTTAAAAGACAACTGAAGGCGGCCCTGTTTAGGGACGTTTTTAATGTTTGATGCTGTATTGTTTTTAATATTCAGTTGGAAGCCGCCCAGAGTGGCTGGGGAAACCCAGCCAGATGGGCGGGATATAAAAAATAAATTATTATTATTATATTATATAACCTGAGGCACACTTTCGCTAACGGGGCCTGCTGCTGCTGCTGCGCCACCGGCGCACAATTTCCATTCTCATCCTGGGGCAAAGTTCTCAACCCGAGGTACTACTTCTGGGTTAGCAGAGTTTGTAACCCAAAGTGTTTGTAACCCGAAATGTTTGTAACCTGGGGTACCACTGTATAGTGTAATCTCGTTCGCACATAACACTATGTAAACATGCAGGTTCCTAGAACAAAAGTCATGGCTGCAGTGCCTGGTGGAGCTGCGCTGCCCATGGTTTGGCTTAGCATTATATGCAAACTGGGTCACCGTAAGCTTGGATGAAAATTTTAATTCAACACAGATTTTGCATCGCTGGTGTGGTGTGACATGTGAAAGTAGCCATTGAAAAGATGTTTCCCAGTTCCCGTTGACAAATATAGAGTACTTTTAAGGTATTCCATTTGAAGCAGCAGCATAGCAGCCTTCACAGTATTCTGCCTCTGAGGGAGAGCTCTTCCATTATAGCCTTCAAAATACGTTTGCTTTTAGTACTGTACCTATCGATCAGTAAAGTACTTTGAATCCATCTGTCAAGCTAATATGGCACAAAGTGTAAAAGAGCACTCATCTTGCATTATGTTATCAGAGCTATTCCAAAAAAAATTATCTTCTTTTAGAAGCACTGCTGTCCTGTTTACTGAATTTTGCTAGAGGTACAGTGGTAACGTGGGTTACATATGCTTCAGGTTAGATACGCTTCAGGTTACAGACTCTGCTAACCCAGAAATAATACCTTGGGTTAAGAACGTTGCTTCAGGATGAGAACAGAAATCGTGCAGAGGCGGCGCGGCAGCAGCAGGAGGCCCCATTAGCTAAAGTGGTGCTTCAGGTTAAGAACAGACCTCCGGAGCAAATTAAGTACTTAACCTGAGGTACCACTGTATTTGCAATTGGCTGCGTGTTTAGAACGGGTGCTAGTTCTCCTTGTCAGCTGTGACCTATGGAAGCAAAATTCAGGCACCCTATCATCTTAAATAGCACTGTCTGAAGCAGGCACTAGTGTTTATGATAGACAAGTTTGGGCTCATTGTAGAATTAAGCCATTAAGCAGATAAAATAATTAAGATTCCACTTTAAACGAAATTCCCATAGGTTCTTATCAAAACAGGATTTGGTGGAGCTGTGTCTCTAACTGAACCACACCTGACATCACATGATATTGAGGTGGGGCAAATGGGCATGGTTTCGGAAAAATGGTCTCTCAGGCCAGATGCAGAGGCTTGGTGTGCCCTGTTTATATTTTTATTTATTTATTTATTTATTTGTATCCCGCCCATCTGGCTGGGCTTCCCCAGCCCTCTGGGTGGCTTCCAAAAAAATATTAAAATACTGTAATACATCAAACATTGAAAGCTTCCCTAAACAGGGCTGCCTTCAGATGTCTTCTAAAAGTCTGGTAGTTGTTGTTCTCTTTGACATCTGGTGGGAGGGCGTTCCACAGGGTGGTTGCCATTACCGAGAAGGCCCTCTGCCTGGTTCCCTGCAACCTCAGTTCTTGCAGTGAGGGAACTGCCAGAAGGCCCTCGGTGCTGGACCTCAGTATCCGGGCTGAACGATGGGGGTGGAGACGCTCCTTTAGTGTGAAAGCAGGAGAATCCCACTCTTAATTTAAACCATAGTTTAAGCTTTCAATGAGAATTTTGGTCTGAAATGACAATCCTTGGTTTGGTCATAATATATTGCTTCCAAAACCTGAAACCTCCCTAATTTCTTCTTGATATCATAATATTTATTAGGCCTTTCTACAATCCCTGCATTGTTAGGAACACAAAATGTTCTTGCCATTTGCTTCCTGCTCCTTGCCAATATAGAGACGCAGATTGAGAGCCTTATGTTTCTTTCCATCGGCTTTAATCACTTAAAAAAACACCAACTTAAATATCCACAGCTTGATTGCAAAACCAATCAAATTATCTCCCTTGCAGGCTTCAAGAGAATTCTAGGGTATTTGGCTAGAGGAAGTACCAGGAGAATTAGCCCTAAAAATAAATAAATCTTGTACACTAATGGCTCCTTATTTTTGAACTAATGAGAAATTTAGAGGGATTAAACTTCCATCTGTGATACAGTGCAAGAAAGAAGTATGGATGAATTAAGGTTCAGGCACTCAAATAATGAGTCATTCTGATTTTAGGTTCCAGTTGAAAGAGGTTGGGGGGGGGGGATGGAAAATAAATTCTTACTTTAACAATGGATAGGAGAGTAGGGGCAGCATAGTGGCTGAAACATTGACCTGCAAGTCAACAAAACCTTGGTTCATATCTAAGTCCTTTGCAGCCTAGCTATTGTTATGTGCAACGGGGAAATCAGGCCTGTGCAAAGTGCATGTTACTCTTCTAGTATAACAGGGATGTCCAGCTTACAAGAGACTGCGATCTACTCCCACTGGCAGAGATCTACCCATTGGATTGACAAAAAGTTGTTGAGCTTTTTTTAGGAAGCCAGGACACCCCATGACCGACCAGTACATCGTGATTGACCAGTTGGACATCCCTGTAGTATAACATCTGTGTGACTTTTTGAATCAAATAGTTTGAGGGAGGTGGTGTCACCGCCCTTTGCTAAGGGGAGTGTGTGTGTGTGGCCTGGTTCACATATCACACAAAATCATTGTTTTAAAACCAACTATGGTTTAATGTGAATGAGCAGTGTGCTGGTGCATGCTGCTCCAAATGTTTTTGGGATGCTCCTCCCCTGCTCCTGCTGCAAGCCAGAGTCTGGCTGGACATGTCATCCAAAACCAGGCTCATGCTTTGTTTCCTCCAAGCAAACGACAAGTGGTAACGAAGGTTTGTTCTTGACTTACCATTTATGGAAACAAACCACAACCAGACTTCATCCACAGCATTACAGATGGAGTAACGTTTGACCAGTGTGCACCATCACAAGTGTGATGGAGTAAGCGAGAGGTGAGCTGACTAAAAACACCTTGGTGGCACAGGACATCTCTCTGATGATCTGATATTATTATTATTATTATTATTATTATTATTATTATTATTAAGACATCTGAAGGCAGCCCTGTTTAGGGAAGCTTTTACTCTTTGATGAATCATTGTATTTTAATATTCTGCTGGAAGCTGCCCAGAGTGGCTGGGAAACCCAGCCAGATGGGCGAGGTATGTATGTATGTATGTATGTATGTATGTATGTATAAATAAATATTTTTAACAGTGAGTCTGCTGGCCTTGTAGGAATGCTTTAAGCGAGACTCTACACATAAATTTATACATGCAGCAAATTCACAAATGAGCCATATTACGACGACAAGTCAAGTCTCCAGTTTTCCCTCCTCCAAAGGAAGCCAAACCCAGCAGCACTGCCCCTAGAACTTCTTAATAACGTATTAATAAAGCGCTGAGCAAAGAACAATATGTTTTTAAAATAGGGATTTTTATGTATTTTTGCAACAACTGAGGTGTTAGGAGCAAGGTACTAGAGGAGACACAGGGAGCTACTGTGGGCAGAGGGGCTGTCGCCAGTGGAAAATAGCTGTTGTGTCTCCAAGCAGTTAGGTGCTTTTATGATGTTTCCAAACTATCAATTGCAAGAAGAACTGGAAAACCTTTTTTTTTGTGTAACACATTGCTCATTTCTATCATTATTACAATAAAAACTGAAGAACTGGAAAGCCTTCTGATGTTGTGAAAAGAAATGTCTCAGAGTTTTGTTCCATATTTTGAGAATATTGCTTGTAGTTGCACATGGTGCCAGCCTGTAACTATGAGATATTGCCAAGAACATCCTCTGCTGTTTTTGGAACCAGTGCCTTTGTTCCTTAAGACAAGCTGTTGCCGGTTCATAACATTCATGATTAAGTTTAGACTACATGCCCATCAGAACACTGAAGCGTGTTTGTTTTACATCTTGCAGATATTTGATAATGAAGCCAAAGATCTTGAGAGAGAAGTCTGCTTTATTGATATTGCCTGCGACGAAATTCCTGAGCGCTATTACAAAGAATCAGAGGTAGGTAAAGGACTTAATGCTCTTGAGCAGTGTAGATTTGCATTGTGCAGAAAGCCCATTCAAACATCCATACTGCTCTGGGATAAATAGTCTCCACCAAGTATAGCTTGGTTATTTCTTCTGATCCTACCAAGTGATAAGAAGAATTTTTCCACCCACCAAGTGCTGATTAAGTGCGTTTCACTTTCTTTTCCTCCTCCCTTTGCACACCTTTTTCCTTATATTTGTCATGACTTTTATAATATAAGTCTGCAAGCAGGGATTGTCTTAAATACTAAGCTTCAGCTGCTGTAAGGGCCTTTTTGGCTAAGGAGCTGAGTTAAAATGCTTTACGTAAACATGTGCTGGAATGACTTAGCTGCATACAGTGGTACCTCGGGTTATGTACTTAATTCGTTCCAGAGGTTCGTTCTTAACCTGAAACTGTTCTTAACCTGAAGCACCACTTTAGCTAATGGGGCTTCCCGCTGCTGCCGCGCCGCCGTCGCACGATTTCTGTTCTCATCCTGAAGCAAAGTTCTTAATCTGAGGTACTACTTCTGGGTTAGCGGAGTCTGTAACCTGAAGCGTATATAACCTGAAGTGTATGTAACCCAATGTACCACTGTATTGTTTTGACTTTACTCAATACTTTTCTTGTTGCATGGGAATGACACCTCCAGGGAATTTGCATAGAATTAATATGCCTTCATATTTCTAATAAAACACTATTAAATTGAGTGACAAGATACGATTTTGCAGCATACAAAATCCAATATATCTTGGCAGCAAATAGGCCCTATTTGTCATAGCTCATGGGCAAAGTTATTCAATTATCTACATGAAAATTTACAACATCAATAGCATTTATTACACTGCAGCAACACATCTTATGCCTAACTGCTATTATCATTATTGAGTTGACAAAAGGCTAAATCTAAACATTTTATGTTGACTTTCTATACATTAACACAATGGTATAATGCTAAAACCATATATGATACTAAATGCTGAAGTTGTGACCTGTTTTAAGGGCTGTAGACCAGAAACAACATGGGTGATGAGCTGAAAAGGGTGCCCTCATCCTCTATCTTTGGCAAAAAGTTTGGAAGGCAATTATTATCATTCCCAGTTGGACTGGGTGATAAGCTACATGAAGACCAAAGACCCTAGCCTTGATTCTGTCTTGAAGAATACACCTTTATGAAGTGTTTTGAAACAGTCCCTAAAATGTTAACAGTTGGATAGCTAGTATTGGCATACTTTTTGAATATTGAAGCTCTGAAACAGAATCAGAAGCCCTCCTATTTTCCCAGAGGTTGCCTCTCCCGCAGTGGAAGGCGCAAAAAAACCTCTTTCCATTCTTATTTGAGAGTCCCAGTTGGAGTTTGGTCTGAAAGAAGACACCATGCAACTGTGTCTCTTTGGAAATCCCTGGGCCTAAGAGTAAAGAGTGCAACAGTGCATCCACAGGGCATTGGGGGGTGGGTCACCTACAGCGGCAAAATGTACTGTGTTGGCCCTGTAAAGCACAGATATTGAATTGGAACCAACTAGAGGGTTGGATACAGAGCTGACCTATCCTTGAAGGACCATTTTGACCTGTGTGGGACCATCCACCTGACATCATGACATCAGGTGACTCAAGCTATGACTGCAAATGAAGAATATTGCTTTTCCATCCTTCCTTGAACTCAAGCTAGAGTTGCAAACAAGAAATCTTGAGGGTGGATAAAAATGCTCCCATTTACTGCCAAAGAACTGTTGCAGCACTAAAGTCAGAAACAACACGGTAACTGCTGCATTTTAAAGATCAGCCAGAGGCTTGGATCTTAGTTATTGTTAGGAGAGCTTGCAGCTTTGGTGAGTTAAATAAAAAATATCATTTTGGAGTTCAAAGGCTTTATTCATGCAAGCTTTCTATTGGCAGGATGAAAGAGAATAGCAAGCATCTTGTCTCAACATGTTGGGAGAGAAGAAACAAAATGGCTCAGCTTTTACGGGTAGAGTTAACTTAGACAAAACAGTGCCCTCATGTGATTTAAACATGCATTAACTATACAAATTTAATAAATAAAAATATTAATAACTAGAAGCTCAAAGTAAGTAAATGTATTTGCTTTTCTCCCATAGTACTTTGGTGTTTAGCACTAACACCCCTTATCTCTTATCTTAGCACTTAAAGCAGAGGGCCCAGGTCAGTACTCCAAGCCTCTCTATTTAGCCCTCATAACTCCTCCTCTGCGGCACATGCTCCTCAACCACATAACCTCTCCCCAGGCCACACCCCTACATTACCCTACTATGTACCCTCCTTGAGTATTTTTGCATTGTGGGACCACAGCACCAAAATCAAAGAGACCAGAGAGGAGTAGGCATTCATCTCTGGTGTAGAGCTAAGCACCACAGCACTAATATTAACTTAGCATATTACTATGAAGGAAAACTTAGTGAATTTTATTTCTATATTCTCTACAAATGGACAGTCTACAAAACATCTGCCCCTTAAGTTCAAGGGCACACATAATTTGCAGGCACAGGTCAAGGGGGGGGGAGGCTTCCTTCACTTACTTTCTGGATTATGAATCTTTGAAATAGTAATATATAGAATACCAGTGTTCCTGAAATAACAATAGTAATTAGATAGATAGATAGATAGATAGATAGATAGATAGATAGATATAGATAAACACACACACACACACACACACACACACAGAGAGAGAGAGAGAGAGAGAGAGAGAGAGAGAGAGAAGAAAGGGCATTCTGCCCCCACCCCCCAGGGAAGTCTTAAGAGACTGATGGTCCAATATTCCAGAATGGAATAAGCCATAAATCAGGCTGTAAAAAAGAAATACCTTTTTAGGATGTGTCAAAATCAGTGTGTATCTCATTCAGTCTAGATTATAAGATATCAGCTAAGCATGCCCGGCACATGTATGACAAGAGATATTGTCTCATTGCTGCTAATTAGAAGAAATTGTGCAGTAAAATTATATCTCACAGAGATAGGATCTGCTTAAAATAGGAGTATCTAATATAAACATTCATTTTTTCCAAAAAAATCTTTTCAAGACTGAAGATAATCAAATAGTAAAATGTTAATCAGAACAGATCTGGAAATAAAGGGTTGTATCCAGCTAAGTTCCACTCAGAGCAGATATATTGAAATTAATGGACAGAAGTCATTCAGGTCCATTCATTCTAATGGGTCTAACATAAGATGCAGCCCAAAGTCAGTGACCAGGATCCAAAAAGCAACTGCTGACTAACCTGCCCTCCCCCTCAATGTCATGCAGCCCAAACTATTGAAACTCTCTTCTGTTTAAAAACAGTTTTGTATTCAGAGGCAGCCGATGTGGTGCTGTGCTATTAAAGAAAAATAAAATCTTAAGTCTTCTGGAGCTCACAGAGGCAGGTTCTTTTTAGATGCCTGCTGTTTTATTTGCTTTAGTCTTCAGAGCAAATGTAAATTCGCTTTTTAATAAGAGAATTTTTTTTTAATTAAAGAAAGTTTTGTGCTCTTTCCGCCCCAGCACAGATGCGTGTTCAGAGCAATGGAGCTCACTCATGCTTAACTGTCACAGGGATGCAGCCAGCATCTGTCTGGTTCAGGAAATAATGGTTCCACTTGCACCATAATAAGACCTCTTTTATCAACTTGCTTTAGAATGTCCCTCTCCTCCCCTCAGTGCTTCTGTCAGCTCTAATTTATGAGGCAACCTCATTTTGACAGAATAATTTTGCTAGCAAATGGCATAAATTGCTCCATGTTTTCAGTACATTGTAACGCCAAGTGCAGAATGCTTTAAAAATAGCACGTTCGGTATTCAGGGTTAACAAGGCAGAAGTACTGCTGCCCATGCTTGATTTTCTTTTGGGTCCAAAGAAAAATAGGAAGCCAAATGTAATTATTGTCTTCTTCTTTTTTAAGGGGCGGGAGAGATTGTGCCAATTTTCAATCATATTTTCAAAAAGATATGTCCTGAAAACACCGAAGAAAATGTTTTGGATTGGCATAATTGTGAATGCAATGAGCACTTATTTGGAAAATATAAAAGTGTAAATATCTATCTGGTACCATCATTGCAGAAGTACCTGCAACATCAAAAGCAAAGATCTGCAATTCCCTATAATAGTCCTGGTAGTCTATATTTTAGGAGGTTGCTTTATGAAAGGCTGACGCCCATTAAAACCATATTTCTAACTTTGCTCTGAACCCAGTGCATATTATCCATATTTAAAATAGACATTACATACTTTAGACTACTTGTGCTTACACTTGACCTATATTTCAGGTTGTGAATAGAGATGAATTTAAATATATGCTATTTTCTAAACCGGGGTTACAATATTATAGGAAATAAAGCTAAAATTTTCCTCCTAAACTAATTCTCCTTCACTGTATGATTATATATCCCTTCAATTCAGAATCCATACAAGCTCATTTCAATTTAACAACCAAGTTGGTCTTAATAACATTTCTATTCATTAGATTAAGCTCTAGTTGGTTTTTGCTGGGAATGGGGGAATTGTGTGAAGAGCTCTTGTTTTTATTGCCATCTAGAAAATGAATATAGTTCTTCACAGCCCTGTGGTGCTAACGTCACAGTCTCTGAGTCTTGCCAAACTTAACAAGTTTGGGCACTAACTTGAATTTGTTGGTCACTCAGGTGAACAAATTAATTTGAAAATGATTATCAGTAATGGCCATGACCTTAAAAAGTATATGAAGCTTGCTATTAATAGCAGTAGTAGTTGTTACCGTATTGGCCCAAATATAAGCCGTACCCAAATATAAGCCACTCCCTTAAAATTCTGCAGGCACTCACACCCGTTCTGTTTTACCATATGTCTGTTTCAGCAGCGATATTATGCACTGGTACCTCGGGTTACATACGCTTCAGGTTACAGCCTCCGCTAACCCAGAAATAGTGCTTCAGGTTAAGAACTTTGCTTCAGGATGAGAACAGAAATCGTGCTCCGGTGGCACAGCAGCAGCAGGAGGCCCCATTAGCTAA